AAAAGACATCATTCACATTGAATAATCTGCTTCTTGATAATTTGGCCAATTATCATTTTTAATCGTAAAGAAGCTTAAAGCGTGCCCAATCAAACCATGTTAAACGGGTCATCTACGAACTGTAAGATTCTAATTTCCATTGGACATTTTATATATTGTGAGTAACACATCCTTGCTTGATATAATGATGTGAAACTAGGTATTTATGCGGCAACTCTCTGCCTCTACCTAGAAGTTATTTTCAAATACACCCTATGTTATGAAGTAGTTACTTTACATCCTAGATTTCATGATATTATAATTCAGTAACAGATTTTTCAGTAAGGGAACCAAAAGCTAGCATTACCAACGAGCAATTTCATGACACATGAACTACTGTAGTTATGTCCCCTACGGATCTCTGTCCAACATTTTTCCTAAGGAGATTTTCCTAGCATTTTTGCATGCACAGCACCCATAGGGCCATATCCTTACAAATTAGAAGTTTAAGAAATGTAACTGCAAGTTAGAGTTGGATAAAACATGAAGAATACAAGGTCTAATATACAAGGTAACATATTTGAGTCAATATTGGAATGCTTTAGCCTATTGATGCAAGGATTAGGCTAGTATTTTTGTTTATTGAATCTTTGCACTAGATAAGTATAAACTCATATTTCTTAAAGGTTGCTTGAGGTATTTATGAACTTGAAAGGAAAACAGGCAACATAAAACAAGGTAAGCATACCATTTATATGGTCCAGAAACATCTCCGCAGAGGAATTAAGAGTTGGCTGTAAGAGAGGACCAATCACAAAGCCTGGATGAATTGTAACCATGTCAATTCCTTTTTCTTTTGCAAATTTCCAAGCAGCCTCCTCAGCTAAGGTCTTTGAAGCCATATACCAAAGCTGGAAAACCAAAAATAGATTGTCATAAAGAAAATGTTTAAAGATAAACTCCCTGAACATTGCCCAATAGCCATATACCAAAGCAGTGTTCACTCATTCAGTTGTATCTAACTGGATTCGGAGCTAGCTCGCTTCTCACATGTTAATTAGCCAGCCAGTGTGACACGTACAGCTGATTCTTTCATACATATAAAATCATCAAGTAAAATCACCAATATATTAAATAGAAAAACTGAACTGATAAAGCAGACAGAGGCACAGTACCTTATTTGACACACAAAACGCAGAATCTGAAAACCAAGTCTCATCCACTACCACGTCAGGGGTCAATGGCTTTCCATTGAAAGCAACCGAAGCCATGGAAGATGTTAGAATCACTCTCTTGACAGAAGGAAATTTGGCACATGACTTGAGAACGTTTAGGGTTCCCTTGACTGCAGGTTCAATCAGATCTGCCTGGAATATGGAGAATATAGAAACCATAAGGAAACATTTGATATAAACAGTTAACAAAATCAAAAAGCCATGCACGACAAATCAAAGTGGAATATCATCATCGAATAATTTATGTCATCGATGGTATCAATTTGGGTGTAACTTCGATGATTAGAAAGTAGAAAAAAACCATTGAAAGATTACCTGTGGATAAAAAAGCCATGCTCGACAAATCAAAGTGGAATATCATCGTTAAATAATTTATGTCATCGATCTGGTATCAATTTGGGTGTAACTTGGATGATTAGAGAGTAGAAAAAACCATTGAAAGATTACCTGTGGATCATTTGTCCCGAGAAATGCAGGAGAAGCCACGTGAAACACGCTTTCACATCCATCCACTACGGGATCAAAAGACCCCTCTTCAACTAAATTTGCTTTAAATAAGTGAAGTCTTTCTTTAGCTCCATCTAGACTGAGTAAGTGTTCAGTTCTCTTTGGGTCATCTACAACACATATAAACGGGATTAGTAAAGTGATTAAGGACATGAACTCCAACAAAAAAACCTCAATATTCATCAATACGTTATTAGTTGAAGCTAACTATTACTTAATTAATTATGTTGTAATCCATAGTCTTAGAATTAAATAAAAAATTATGAACAAATTGAAGAATACCAGAATATAAGTGATCACTAAAGCATATTGAACTCGAAAGAAACAAAGAAATTAAGCTGGAAAGAAAGAAAGAGATAAAGGGTACTAACTTGGGTCTCGAACAGTGGCTTTGACAGTATAACCACGGTGGAGTAAGAGCTTGACTAGCCATGAGGCAATGTAGCCTGACCCTCCTGTTACACAAACTACTTTTCCTTCTCCATTCATTTTTCAGGGTTTGCTCATTGAGTAACAACGTCAGGTATAATACATATATATAGATCACACATGCGAAACCGTGGACCTTTTGCGTACAAGTTACAATGCCAGTTGATTTTATTAACAATTTACATTAATAATTAATTAACATTAACAGTTAAAAATAAAACAACATGACTTTTTATAGATAATTAACACCGTTGTATGCTGTTTACCATGATCAAAATAGCGTTGTTTTATGTTGTGTTAACATGAAATGATATTGTTTTCTTAAATATTTTAAATAATTATTGTAAATATACATTCGATTTAATCTTTAGTGTTTGAGGATTTATTTTAAATTTTAATTCTTGTATCTATTTCTAGAAAGAGAGGTAAAAATTGAGAAGAGAGAAGATAGTGGTTCCCAGCAACTATTGCATTCCAAATTGAGAAGAGAGAAGATAGTGGTTCCCAGCAACTATTGCATTCCAAAAAGATGTCAAGAAAGTCATTGAGTGAGTTGTATCAGTTGGTATCCAAAAAATACTTATTCTTGTCTAGAAAATGGAGATTAAAAACCAAGATAAGTTTTTGTTTTAAGACTTTAAATTCAAATATAATATCATTTAAAGTGGATTGGAGTAGGTTTTTGAAGTTACAAACAAGTTTAAAAAGGCTAGTAGAATGAGTTCTTGTTTTTTTTCTTTTTTTTTAATTGAAAATGATGGGAAATCAAGTTATCAATGATGAAAAATACGTAAAAATCGGGTTATTGTTTTTTTTTTTTAAAAAAAAGAGCATGGATTCTCTTATGTTCAAGGCCTGTTTATTTATGTATTGGAAAAAAATTATTTATTTTAAATTAATATATTTTTAGTATTTTTAAATTATTTTAATGTGCTGATGTTAAAAATATTTTTTTTAAATAAAAAAAATTACTAGTATGTATTTTAATACGAAAAGTTATTTAAAAAATAACTACAACTACAACCACACTCTTAAACAAACTCTTAGTATTGCATATGATATTTAAAATATTAAAAAATATATTAAAATATTTTTTTATTTTTTAAAATTTATATATAAAAAAATGTAAAAATATATAAAATATTAATTTAAGACAAAAACAAATTAAATTTCTTACAAAAATGCTTCACTAGCAAAAACAAACGGACCCATGCAATCCTTCAAGTAATTAAATTTGTTACGGTTTTGAATTTTTTAGATTATGCAATTAATTCATATGTTTTATTTATTTATTTTTATAAACTTATTATATCGTTTCTGATATATTCCTAACGATGCATATCCTTCGGATGATGTTGATTTTTTCTTACATATAAATCTAAATATATTATTAAATATACATATGCTAGTTGTTACTTAGACCAAAAAGTGCCAAAAACACATTAAAAATAACATAACGATAAAAAAAATATCCATACCTTATGATAATTTTTATTTCAAAAGTATTGATATGCCAAGTATGGTTTTTAAAATATTTGAATAATTTTTTATTGAAATTTAAACATATATTAACTTCTTCTTTTTTTTAGTGATGACATTTTCTTCACTACAAATAACCTAAATTTAAAATATTTTTTTTAATTATTTTTCAATTCAATGTGCATAGTTTGAGATCTTTGTGTTCTTGTTGAAAATCACTTGTGACTGTTTAAAATAGATTTTGGTGTTAAAGAATTAGAAATTAATATTAAGTGTCAATGATCAAGTCTTATTAGGTTATAGTTTAAAACGTTTTGCTTTTATAATTTAAGAAATACATAGTTTTCTGAATCAATGATTTTTCAATTAATATTCATAATTCAAAAGGTTAGTTAATTCCCTCTAAATATTGAAAATATAAGTGAAATAGATAAAATAACATATTATATATATATATATATATGAAAAGTTTATTATTGAGATCGGTTTTATATCAGCCAAACCTTGACATGTGTTTTTCAGCATCATGATTTTCTTTTTAGCTGAGAAATAAAAATATATATATTAATACTTGATAAAATAAATTGAGAAATATCTCCTCATCGGGTTCTTTCCGAAGAACATGCAGTGTGAGCTTCCTCATTGGATTTCTTATCTTTTGAAGAACATGCAGTGTGAGCTTCCTCATTGGATTTCTTATCTTTTGAAGAACATGCAGTGTGAGCTTCCCTATTGCCTTCTTATCTTTCGAAGAATTTGTAGTGTCAGCTTTCGTATTGGCGTCTGATCTTTCGAAGGGTCAGCCATTTTACTGGTCTTCTCTTCCGAGGAGCTTTTAGTACTGTCATCTTTCTCTGAACTTGCAGGGTCGGATTTCTCAATTGGCTTCTCTTTTGAAGAACTTTTAGAGCCAACTTTCTTCTCGCCTTCATCCTTCCAAGGCAAGATCATCACATCCACGTTCTTCTTATGCATCCTTTTCCAGAATCTATCCGCCAAGGCTTGAGTGTCTATGGTACCAGTCATGGTGATGGTGAGCAGGTTATCCGCATTCCAGGATCGTGTAGCATTGCCCTCCATCCCTATAAACACAAGGACCCCCATCAATCAGCTCCATTAATACTGAAATATAAACCGTATATTACATGAACTACACAGACTCCATAATTTCACCTTTGGTCTCGGACAAAATTCTGTCCACTTTCTTCCTGCATCCTTCGCAATTACAGCACTTATCGATGCTCAACACAATCTTCTTCATAACTGGAGGCTTTAGCAATATAGTTCAGAGAAAAAAAACACGTTAGTGGATGAATTAAGTGTAAAAACCTGAGAACTATCGAATTGCATGCATAATGAGTGAATCGATAATTTTTTGGGTCAAAACTCGAGTTCAAACTACTTAACCAGCGAATTTATGTAAAATACTTTCAACGCTGAATAAGTTATAAATATATACTTCTCTCTTGTTGGTACTTCAGAAAAGTATATATAGGTGAGTATTGAAGTTTAAGACAAAGGGAAAGCTAGCAGTTTATATAATTTACGAACAGCTGTGCTAAACAGGGAATACTGTTCTTTGCCTGCTTGTAATAGGAAAAGGGCTTTCTTTCTTTCTTTTTCTTTTCTTCTTTCCCTGAATAGGAAATAGAAAACTAGTTAATTTCCCAAAAAAAAAGAGAAAAGAATGCAGGCAAGAGCCAGCATCCGTGCTGCATATATATACATACCATCTAAGTTTCGGTCCAGCTCACCTGATAAAATATGCTTTTGTCTCGCATCATCCTTTAAAGTGAAAAAACAAAAATTTAAAAGAGGTTTTGCTTTCTTTCTTTGTCAGCAATATCACAAAATGTATTAAACATTTGTCTCTTCAACTTCCTGAGACTGCATCCCCACCTCGGTGTGGTTGTATATTATACAGCAATTGAAGTTCTTGATATTTTCAATTTATGTTGTGTCAAAGGACAAAGGAAAATAATATCGTACGATATACCGAATTTACAAACCAATAGACCGACTAGCTTTATTTGGTTGCAAATTTTGAGATGTCTGAATTCGATTCAAATAATTTTTTAGGATGAACTAAAGAATCCATTGATAAAAGGAAAAGGATAGGAAAAAACTATGCAGGACCTAACCATGTTAAAATCTGATTCGGAATCTCCAAATCAAGGAATCATATGAAGCTAGCTCTAAAAAACAGAAAGAAATCAAAACTAACAGACAACATTTTCTAAAACTAACAGACAAGAACTGCAAATATCCATTATTGCCCCCGTATGAGTCTCAGCATCATTTGGTCATATCCTCTTACATGAGATTCTCCCTTGACCTACTTTATTGGATGATATTCAGGGGTTGCTCAGTGATCGCAAAATCACTACGAGCACCATCTTTTTTTCCAGACGCAGGAGAGCCAACATCGACATATAGGAAAGCTGTCCTTGCTTTTCTTTCAACTTCCTCCTCCTCCTCCTCCTCCTCAGCTAGTAAATGTGGTGGAGGCAGCTCCAACTCCTCTTGCTCCCATTCTTCAATGTCCAAATTGTGTATAAGATAATCCACACCTGCCATAGCTAAAGCCTCTATTGATGCTGACATGATTTTTAGCACTCAAATATCTAAAACCTCTCTTCTCCTCTGGTTTCTGGCCTTGATAATTTTTTTTCCTTGAGAATGATTAAGATTTCAAATACATTGATGGTTAGACCTGCTACATGAGGAGCATATATATAGAGAAACAAATTCTTATAGTCATAGTCATAGGCTTTGAACAGGAAAGTGGAGACAACACGATGAAGTTTAGAATAACAAGCAGAGCTACATTCTCGTGATCATCTTATTATTGACTTCGCTTCAATGTTCAACTACAAACTCCAGGTGTTTATGTTTTCTACGTACCAAAGATGTCAGGCATGATCATACAAAGTGATGAGAGCCCTCATGCAAGCGTGATCATATATAGCTGATTAACCAACATATCCTTCAAACATAAACTCTCAGAGAAAGAAAACTATTGTTTTCACGTGAATTTCGGGTATCGTTGTCTTCACGTGGATTTGGAGCTGAAGAAGCTGAAGAAACAAGGACATCATATGCCAATAATGCACAGTTAGCATATAAAAGCATAAGGTACTGAAAGCAAGAAAAATCATGGGATAATAACTGGGATTCTATATTTGTGGTCTAAGACTTGGAAAGCCTAGTTTTATTCCATAATTGCATGCGTAATGAAGCAAATGAAGTACTTGTCAAAGGGTAGACTTCATGCTCTTAAAAACTTCATTTTCTTGTGATCAGAAACTACATAAAAGCATGGGTCAATATGAAGCAAATGAAGGACTTGTCAACGGGTAGACCTCATGCTCTTAAGAACTTGATTTTCTTGTGATCAGAAGCTTTCGTAAATGATGACGAGTCCTATAATCTGCCCATGTGGAATTAAAGTTCTCTGCTACAATTGAAGTTGAACGAATCACTTCATCCGTGAGCGAGCAGGAATCTTGAAAATCAAGAACTGATGAGGGGAAAATATAGTGTATGTGTAGGAGCACAAATCCAATTATTAGACAATCTAAGAAAAGGCCCATCAATGATCTATTGTGATAGGGAAAAGATCATATGAGTGAGGGGAAAAAGAAAAAAAAAAAAAACAAGAAAAAAAGAGGAAGATATTCCTTGATTTTACAAGCAAGCCTAAAAACTTGGTGTTAACATTATAAACAAGTTTCCCTCTCAATTGAAGAAAAAAGAAAAAAGACGGTCATTAGCACAAATACCTTATAAACAAACTCTCTTTATACACTCGAATCTTCCATAGCTTGCCGCTCTCTCTCTCCTTCACAAAATCAATCATGCACCAGACCACTTGCTTCGTCCACTCCTTTTTTGTTTTCTTTTACCACTTGAATCGCCCCCAATTCAACCTTTTACAAGCGCTCATGCAAGCAAGTAGCCCATCGGACGTTTTGGGCACTCTCAGGTAAGACTGCTGTAATCTCCCTTCATGTAATCCATGCTATAATTACAAATTTATAACCAATTTTTTTTTTTTTACAATCAAAACCTTCTTGTAATTTGATTTGAGATTAATTGGCACAAAATTAAAAGTTTTATTCCAATTCTTGTTAATTTCAAGTTTGTATGATATCTAATTGCTATCTAAAAGAGCGAATCGGATGAGATTTTATTTAGATATGGATTAAATTAAAAGGCCATGAACTTTAATGTTAGAAGTTGTTTTCTTTTTAATATAATTTAGATTTAGCCTTTCTAATTTTTTTAAAGAGTAGTTTAAATAATTAACATGATATAAAATTTAACATGGATTAATTTTGTAACATGGATTTTGTTTTTAATTGTATTTTGATTGAACTTTTCTCACTTAATTGGTTAATTTGATAAAGATAGAATTAATTAAATACACTTACTTAATTTATGGATGGATCAACTCGCACATGTAAATATAATTGATTTTAGGAAAGGTTTATACTTACACACATGTTAATTTCCTTTTATGTATGTATATTTATTTGTCTATCTTTTCTTATTCTCTGAATTTGATTTGATTATTGTTCATAATTTGAAGTTTAATTTAAAAGAATTGTAAATATGGAATAAATTTTAACATGGATCCATCTTTTTATAACATATATATCTCTAGAAATCCCTAAACTTACGTTTTTTTAAAAATTATATAAAAGGTCATAATTCGCAAGAATAAACTAGATGATTTTTCCATGAATTAAATAAAATAGGCAACTTTTATGGATGGACACCTTTCAGGATGTAATATTCAATCTCCTTAATTGATTTTTAATTGATTTTTTATAGCTAGTATTTGCATTTTTTTTGTTAGCATATTCCATAGGTGAGAGAGCAACAATTTATTTCATATGCAACTACAACTCAAGGTTTGAATAAAATTATAATAAATGTCATTATAAATCACTGATAAAAATATTAAAGTGATTAAATTTTTTTAGTATATATATTCTATATATATAAATATTGGTGTTTTTTTTATAAAAATATCAACATATTTAACTTTACAAACAAATAAATTTCATTTATAAATCTATCGATAAATTTTTTGCCAATAGATTAATAGTGGAAATACCATGATTTTGAAAACTAATTTGATGGTGAACCCGGTCTAATAAGCGAGTTATAGGTCAAATAAATTAACTCGGATTAACCCTGATAAACCCAAATAAAATTAACTTGACAGATAAAGATATCTCAGAGGGCCATTTCTTTTCGGTTTTTCGTTGATGGCATCATGGCAAGGAAGAGCTCCAAAATTAGAATGAAGGGAAAAACCTGTTAAGGTTCCAAGGTAGTGTGTAGAACTCATCACTCCTGGTGTCTTGAGTAAAATATCTGAAGCTCTCCCACCAGTGCAGAGTGACAAGAGTTCTCTTGTTTTCAATAATGGAAAATGCTGATTTATATTTTAAGTTTTTTTATTTTTTTCATAACAAGAGGTGGAAATTTATGCATAAATTTTTCCATAACAAAAAATAAGAAATTTCAAGATATTTTGAAGATATAAAAACAGCATAAAAGTTTATTTTGAAAGTATGGTAAATTTATTTTTAAAAATGATTTTTATTTAAAAATATTTTTTTTTTATTTTTTAAAATTTATTTTAATATTAAAATCAAGATAATCTAAAAATATATAAAACATTAATTTAAAACTAAAAAAATTAATTTTTTTTAAAAATACAATCGAATTGCCAAACAAGAAAAAAAAAAAGGAAAAAATAATCGAGAACTCTGGATACTATTGGATAATCCACGTGTCAAATGAAAACACTCCACATGCACCCTGAAGTTCTCGAAATATATTAACGTTTCTCGTCTCATGGAAACTGCTTTTATTTTGATCTTTATTTAGCCAGTGTTTGGAAACGTGGTTGAACATGTATTTTTAAAAAATTCAATATGGTTTGTATGTTTTGGATCGTTTTGATGTGTTGATGTTAAAAATAATTTTTAAAAAATAAAAAAATATCATTAATATACATTTCGACATAAAAAATTATTTAAAAAGCAACCACTATCAAACACACTTTTACTCCATTCCCCACCGACAGTCGAAAACTCAATTCTTCACTTCATTTCCCACACAAAAAGATTAAAAACAAATCACCTTTTCGTTTACTTTCTTGCCATCCAAACACTGCATGGCCACTAGTTCATAACTAAAAAAAGAAAGGTTTGCTTAGACGTGGGCACAGTCGTACGGGAATACAATAGACATCAAAATACCATGTTTAACCTGGAGGTCATCATCGTACTAGATAGAAATAAATAGAGACGGAGATGGAGCTTACCCGACTTGCACCTCTAAAATTTATGGCAATTTATAAAGGGTCGAGAGAATTGTATCCGAGTTATAAGGTAAATAGACCTGGGTTTGTTCTGGTCAACTGGGTTCTGGATTAACCTGCCGGGTCAACTAGGTTTTACTAGGCCAGCTTCTTGGCGGGTTTTTACTTAGATCCAGACCAGTCCTAAACCCGGGTCGGCTAGGTCCCAAATCCACCCACCAGACTGATCCAAGC